CAGACTAGAGGGCTGGAAGAAGGGGACCGTGGCATGACCGGACCGGTGGAGGACGTTCTTCGCTTTCTCCCGCGTGTGAGCTCACACCAGCATGAATAAAGAAGGGAAGTGGGGCCTGCAGATAGCGGAATGGTCACAGGCTCATCCCACCCCCGGCCCCTGCCCAGCTGCCCTCTGCCCACAGTGTCCTGTCCCTCGGCTACAGCGTCCTGGCTCCCAACTGCACTCAGCGACTGCTCCGTGCTCCCCTTGCGAGGCCCTCCCCCTGCACTGGAAGCTTCCTGCTTTCCCTGGTGGGCAGCGGGGGCTACCGCCGGTGTGGAAAACTGCACCGGAGTCCTCCCAGAGTTCAAACCAGGTCTCCCCGGGCCTCGACCAGAACACTCCAGGCCCGGGTGAGAACCAAGGGCCGGGGGTCAATGAGAGACTCGCACGGCCACAGACACTGCAGCCCAAGTGGTCATCGCGCTTACCCAGAGGACTGGATTAACAAACGGGGTCGGGCCGCACAGTGGGCAGCCACCCAGCCTGCAGGAGGAAGGGCAGTCCGACACCCGCCGGCACTCGGATGGAACGAGGGGAGTAAAGGACACGGTCACACTGTTCCTGTGGGTCCCTGCTGCAGGAAGGAGAGGGGCTGCCTGGGCTGGGGGAGGGTGAGGGAGTGCGGGGAGTGTTTGACGGGGGCAGAGGTTCAGTGTGGGAAGACAGCAGAGTGAGTGCACTTCATGGTACCGACTGCACTTTATTATTTTGGGGGGAAGAGGTTTTGTTATAGGGCACGTGCGCTCACCAGAAAGACAGAGACAGAGAGATGGAAAGCGAGAAATCACCCCCCAGGGGAGATGGCCACGCTGCAATCCCTTCTCCTCCATTCTCCTCTCGGGATCTTGGGCACACACGCACACACGCCCAGCATGAGTTTAAGTCACCGGGTCTGGGACTCGAACTGTGGTCAGCTACATGGGAGTCCAGCGACATAGCCATGATGCCAGCTGCTGGTCCCACCCAGGGCTATTTTAATCCCTTCTCTCTCCCTCTTTCCCACCCACCTACACCCTTTGTGTGTGCAGGAGACAGAGGTCAGACGCGTGGGTGGGCTGGCTCGGCCCAGCCTCCTGCCCCCTCCCAAACCTCCCCGTCCTGACTTGGCTACCCGAAAACATCCGGGAAGTGTGGCGGTCACCAGGGCACCCCCAGCCATGTTCCTGACCCCCTGGAGACGACGCCGCAGAGTTACCCGCACTGTCTCCAGGTCGGAGCTGGCGAGGGGGAATCTTGTTCCCATTTCCCACACGCTGGGATCCAGGCAGCAAGGGGAGGTCTGGGCCTTCTGGAGAAATCCAGTTCTCAGTCCCAGCAGGGGACAAAGGCGCGGTGACATGTGGGGTGCCACTTCCCGGGGGGCTGCTCCAGCTTGACCTGAGCAGGCCAAACATGGTGGCACCCACGACACTGGTAACCTGGAGTCTGGGCAGGAGGCCCGAGATGTGGGGACCCCATCCAAAATGCCCGGCCCAGTCCACCCAGGGCGGGGGCAGTGGCTGGTGCGGACCTGCAGTTCTGGGAGCACACACCAGCTGTGAATTCCGGTCCCTGGCCAGCTGACCTGAACCACGCCAGGTGCAAACTCGTGCGCCCACGGTGGCCGGGAGCTGGAGGGCCAGGAAGAGGGGCCGGCAGTGTGGTGAGACCCTGGTGAGGGTGCCTCTCTGTCCTTCTCGCATGTGCCCATGTGCTATCACACATTAGAGAAATAACTCTGGGTCCAGCAGGTGGTGTGGTGGGTAAGGCGCTGGATTCCCACGTGGCCAGCTGCGGTTCAAATCTCGGACTCAGCAATTTGAATATCATGCCAGGCACATGATTCTCCGCACCCACTCAAAATCCCACATGGAAAGGAATGGGGAGAGACCACTCATTGGAAACCTCCCTCCCACCTCCACTGAGGCTCGGCTTGGAAATCTCACAGAGGAAGGAGGCTAGGGAGCCTCTCAGGGGGTGACCTTGATACAGAAAAATGGCCACCCAGAGCTTTCTCAACATCAACCCACACCAAGACCAGAAGTTGGTGTAATGGCTATGCTGCTGGACTCCCATGTAGTCAGCCACGGTTCGAGTCCCAAACCCGATGGCTTCAACTCACGCCGGGCGCATGTGAGTGTGTGTCCAAGATCCCAAGAGGAGAATGGAGGAGAAGGGATTGTGGTGTGGCCGTACCCCCGGGGGTTGATTTCTCGTTTTCTGTCTCTCTCTCTCTTTCTGGCAAGTGCAGGCGCCCTATAGCAAAAACCTCTCAAAAAAAAAAAAAAATTAACCCAGACCAAATCTGAACGTGCACACAGGTGGGTGAGTGACCAAGTTCACGACAATGATGTTGAAGCACAGAGAAATCTGAAACACCGCCAATGTCCTCAGAGTAAGGGGGTTGGCTGGATAAACCATGGCACATTCACAAGATGGAATACTACGCAGCAGTGAACAAGGCCAAACTCAGAGATCTGTACACCTCTGTGGGAAAAATCCCCAGGAAACTACTGAGAGAACCCAACCAAGTTACCCCAGCTCGATATCACAACTCCACCAGCAATACCCTCCACTCCCCACCCCTAACGTTCTAGGCAAAAAACACAGAGAAAGCGTCGAGAGGGACACACACCAAACTACATGACTCAGCACTTATCCGCGAGGGCGCGGCATTAGGAAAGAGGGTCCGGGGACTGACGGCTCTGATCTGCCGTCATCGGACTAGTTAAAGCCGTTCTGCTCGGGCACACCCCTGTGCAGTGAAAACGTGCTTTCATTTTATTTTTATTTCTTTAAATATTTATCTTATTTAACTTTATTTGTTTATTTGCTTCTTTTAATTTGACCAGGGAGGGACAGAGTGAGTGAGAGAAAGTGAGAAAGCAAGCCGCCGGGTCCAGGACTTGAACCGCGATTGCCCATGTGGGAGTCCAGTGCCTTTAACCACTACACCATCTGCTGGCCCCCTGAAAACGTGGTTTGGATTTGTTGGTTTGTTTTAGTTTTGCCATAGACCATGTGCATACAGCAGGCAGAGACAGAGAGAGGGAGAGTGCGAAATCAACCCCCAGGGGGATGGCCCCACCGCAGTCCCTTCTCCTCCCGTCTCCTCTTGGGCTTTTGGGCATGCACACGCATGCGCACGCACCTGGTGTGTCTTGCGGCTGACAGGTCCGAGACTCGAACTATACAGTCAGCCACGTGGGATCCAGATGCCTTAACCTCCACACCACCTGCTGGTCCTGGAAATGTGATTTTTAAAGGTGACTTGGGGACCAGCGGGCGTAGATCCGTCGGTTTGAAACACATGGGGTGCGCGTGTGCGTGTGCCCCAAATCCCAGGAATAGGATAGAGAAGGGACTGCAGCATGGCCGTCTCCCCGGGGGGATGATTTCTCACTTTCCCTCTCGCTGTCTCTCTCTGTCTCTCTCGGCAAGTGCACGCACCCGATAGCAAAAAACCTTTAAAAAAAAACAAACAACCGGTGACTCGCACTTTGGTTATCACATGCGCTCGCAGAGAGGAGGAGCGGGTCAGAGGACGGGGTGCTCCCCCTGCCGGTCCATGAGAAGTCTGGGCTCCAGGGCGCTGGTCCTTCTGGAGCCAAGACGGGCACAGTTGCCTCTACGCTCCCGGAGGGCACCCCGTCCCCGCTTGCCCTGCCCAGCCTCGCTCCAGCCGTGTCTGGCTCTGGCCCCTGCCACACACGAGGGGCCCCTCCAAAGTGCGAGCTGCCTCAGTTCGTGACCCTTGCACCCCCCTTGACCTGGGGCGGGCTACCTCCCTGTGCTGGCCCCCAGTCTGGCCCCAGAGCCCGACCCGTGCATCCTCTGACATGTGGCAGGCGCTGCTCTGAGCCCTGACGTGTTCGTGCCCATGCTCGCAGCTACTCTGAGTCAAGAGCTCTTGTCGGTGTGACTGTACAGATAGGGAAACTGAGGCACGGAGAAGTCAAGAAGGGCCCGAGTGGGACCAGCAGTTAGCGTCATGGCTATGTTGCTGGACTCCCATGTAGTCGACCGTGGTTCGAATCCTGGACCAGTTGGCTTAAGCTCACACAGGGCGCGTGTGCGTGCGTGCCCAAGATCCCGAGAGGAGAATGGAGGAGAAGGGATTGCGGCGTGACCATCCCCCCTGGGGGGTGATTTCTCGCTTTCTGTCTCTATGTCTCTCTCTGTCTGTCTTTCTGGCAAGCGCACACACCCTGTAGCATAAAAAAAAAAAAAAAGAAAGAAGGGCCCGAGTCACTCAGCTAGCAAGTGACAAAGCAGGGAGGAACCTCTTCGTGTACCCTGCTCTTGTATTATTACTTATTTCACAAGAGTGAGGAGCCAGAGGGGGGGAAGGAGGGACAGGGAGGAGGCAGAGAAGGACACGCATGACCAGAAGATCCCACATCACAACCCCCACCCGCCCAGCCACCCCAGCCAGCGCCCAGGGCACTAGCACGTGTCTGGTGTGGCCACATCCACTGGGGAATCGAACCTGCGACCTCCCGATACATACGGTGTGCGTGAGCAGGGCCGCGGAGCCAGCCCCACCCTGCCTCTGCAAGCCCCTTATCCCTGGGGTGCCCCAGCACAGACGGAAGACCCGAAGGCTGGGAGGCTGACCCGAAGGCCACCAGCGTCCAGGGCCCGCGATGTCCTGTCTTCATGACGGTCCTGAGCAGGCAGGCCGTGTTCCTCCCTGACGGCCCGCGGCCTCTCGGGGTCAGAAACCCTGCCAGAACTGCACGTGCCCGGCGGTGCGGCCCGCACCTTCCCGTCTACACCTACAGATGAGGAAAGCGAGGCCCAGGGGTCCAGCTCTACTCTACTTCCTCCACAGAGCCCTGGGGAGCCCCGAACTTCCTCGTACCCCAGAGTGTCTCAGCGGCAGGACCGCGGTGGCCCCCCGCACTCTGCTGAGAGTGGAGCGGCTCCTTCGCCATCCTCTCCGCCACCCCCACCCGGCCCGGGGGGCGCCCTACCTTGTGGGGGAGGCTGGGGTCTCTGGCAGCACCGTCCTCCTCCTCCGAGCTCCCCTGCTCTTCGTCCGACGTGAGGTCCTCTCTGGGGGCCAGCGCCGAGATGGGACAGACCTTGTAGGGCTCCGTGTAGGCGCTGGGGCAGAGCAGAGAGAGGGTTAGCGCTTTTCATGAGAGACACAAAAGCCAAGCGGACCAGCCTGGGCCCCGAAGTTGCTCTGAGGGTGCCCTGAGGGTGCCACGGGCTGTTAACGATGCCCCAAACCCAAGGCCCGGTGCTCCCTATGGGGACCGCGACAGAGCGAGACCCAGGTGCAAACCCCTACCCCCACCCCGGCACCCTGGCCTCCTCCCGTGCCTTGAACACACCAAGCTCTTCACTGCCCCAGTGCCTTGACGGGGTCAGGTCCCTGCTCGACGTCAGGTGGCTGGAGGGCCCCTGCCATCGGCTACGGGATCGAGCAACGTGCTGACTGGCCTGGGGTCTGCACTGGCCGGTTGGGTGGCAGGGTCAGAGGTCCGTGTCCTCCGGGCTGGAATACGGGACGGGGTGCCATGGTGGACGGTCCAGGCTGCACGTCCCAGCTCAGCCGCTCCCTTGCCATCCACCGGGTCTCGGACAAGGCACGGGGCAGGCGTCAGCCGCCACCTCGCTGCAGGGGGGTGAGGACACGGCTTGCCTTCGCGGGGGGCTGTGAGGACCACAGGGCACAGTGATGTAACCTCCCTGTCTGTAACCACGGCTCCGGGGAGGGTGTGGCCGTGAACAAACGAATCAGCGGACGCGTTTGGGAGCTGTCACTCGCCTGCTTTATGCCGGGCAGGGGCTAGGCAGTGGGTAAAACCGTGGACAATGGGGCAGCCGAGGGCCTGTCCTCAGGTGAACGCGCCTGCACAAACCTAAACCACGACCCCACCGGGAGACGCTGGCCCCATCACAACCCCTTCTCCCCACCCCCGCTCCTGCCCTCGGCCTCCCTCCACTCAGCAGACTGCTCGTTTTCAATAGAGATCAGCCCCTCTCCCGCTCTAAAGCCTTCGTGGCCCCCCCCCTGCCACTGGCAATGTGGACCCAAGCAACAACTGGCAAAATTTGTACTCGAAATCCAGGCACCTGGTCTTACTTTATTTAACTTTATTTATTTATTTATTTTACTTTGGCCAGAGAGGGAGAGAAAAAGAGAGACAGAGGGTGAGAAAGCAAGCCACCAGGTCCGGGACTCGAACTGCAGTTAGCTGTGTAGGAGGCTAGCACCATTAACCACCATGCCACCTGCTGGCCCTGGCATGTGGTCTTATTAAATTCTTACCAAATGCTTATTCCTGTCCCCGCGGAATGCCGGAAGGAGATGCCAGGCGGATGGGCAAGTGGGAGGAGAGAAAGGAGCACCCACTTCCTGCACTGGGCGGTCCAGATGCAGCCCAGCGCTCTGGCACGCAGGGGCCCTGCCCTGGCTTGGGGTGCTGGCCCAGGCTGGAGACGCAGGGCTGGGTGGGGACACCGGGGGTTGGGGGAGAATTATAGCCTGGTGGAGCCGAACTAGGGGCTCATCTTGGACACCCATTTTCAGAACACATGAGCCAGGCTCCTGGTCCCTACTGAGATCATGACCAGTGTCCCCTGGCCCACAGGGGCTGTGACGCCAGAGAGGGCGGAGACAAGGGACCCTGAACGGTGGGGCCTGCTCCTCCTGGGCTGTCACTGACAGTGTGGGTGGGCGGGGTGTGGGGCCGGGCACGAGTACCCAAGGACAAACCGAGCCCCACCCAGGCCCAGCCAGACCTGTCTGCTGCCCGACAGGCCACACTCACGATGGTCAGACCTCTTGCTTCTTTATTTTATTTTATTTTAATTAATTAATTTTTTTAGAGGTTTTTGCTATAGGGTGCATGCACTCGCCAGACAGAGAGAGACAGAGAGACAGAAAGCAAGAAATCACCCCACGGGGGAATGGCCACACCGCAATCCCTTCTCCATTCTCCTCTCGGGACCTTGGTACGCACGCACATGTGCTCGGCATGAGTTTTAAGCCGCCAGGTCCTGGACACGAACTGTGGTCGACTACATGGGAGTCCAGCGACATAGCCATTACGCTAACTGCTGGTCCCTTTATTTTATTTTTTTGAGAGGTTTTTGCTATAGGGCGTGTGCACTCGCCAGAAAGACAGAGACAGACAGAGAGACAGAAAGCGAGAAATCACCCCCCAGGAGGGATGGCCTTGTTGCAATCCCTTCTCCTCCATTCTCTTCTCGGGATCTTGGGCACGCACGCACACGTGCCCGGCGTGAGTCTAAGCCACTAGGTCTGGGACTTGAACTGCAGTTGACAACATGGGAGTCTAGCGACACAGTCGTTATGCCAACGGCTGGTCCCCTTTGTTTCTTTCTTTGTAGGAAATCTACTGTTGGTCTGAGACCAGCAGGTGGCAAGGTGGTTGGGAGCATTGGACTCCCACATGGCCAACCACGGTTCAAGTTTGGACCTGGCAGCTTGCTTTCTCACTTTCTCTCTCTCTCATTCTATCCCTCTCTGGTCAAAATTAAATATAAATAAACACACAAATAAATAAAGTGATATAAAATAATTCTTTAAAAAAAAAAAAACAAACAGAAATCACTATTGGTCTTTTTTCTATTTTTTGTTTTTTTGCTATAAGGTGTGTGGGCTCACCAAAGAGAGGGAAAGTGAGAAATCACCCCCCAGGGGGGATGGCCACGCCGCAGTCCCTTCTCCTCCATTCTCCTCTCGGGATCTTGGGCACGCACTCACACACACATGCCTGGAATGATTTTCAAGCCTCCAGGTCCAAGACTCGAACCGTGGTCGACCATGTGGGAGTCCAGCACCTTAACCACCATGCCATCTGTTCACCCAAGACTTTTCCTTTTCTGTTCTCTTTTGTTTTTTGCCATGGGGCAAGTGCACTTGCCAGAGAGAGACAAGAGGGGAAGTGAGAAACTACCCCCGGGGGGATGGCCATGCCGCAATCCCTTCTCCTCCTTTCTCCTCCAGGGATTTTGGGCACGCACGCACACGCGCCCGGCGTGAGTTTCAAGCCGCCAGGTCCGTGAATCTAACTGCATTCCCCCATGTGGGAGTCCAGCATCTTACCCGCCACGCCACCTCCTGGCCCCTCTTCTTCTTTTTCTTCCTTTCTTACTCTTCCTCCCTTCCTTCCTCCCTCTCTCTCTCCCCCCACTCCCCACCCCTTCCTTCCTTCTTTTTCCACTTTTTGGTTTAGTTGCCAGAGGGCACGTGGCCTCACCAGAAAGGGAGCGAGCAGCCTGGACCGGGCATGGGTATGCTGCAGTCCCTTCTCCATTTCTCCACCCTGCTGGGATTTGGGGCACACACATGTGCTGGCATGTTTTTGTTTTTTATTTTTGAGAGTTTTTTTCTATAGGGCACATGCATTCGCCAGACAGAGAGAGACAGAGAGACAGAAAGCAAGAAATTACCCCCCAGGGGGCAGGGACATGCCACAATCCCTTCTCTTCCGTTCTCCTCTCAGGATCTTGGGCACGCACGCACACGCGCCCGGCATGAGTTTTACGTCACCGGGTCTGGGGTGCGAACCGCTGTCGGCTACATGGGAGTCCAGCGACATAGCCATTACGCTAACTGCTGGTCCCGCCTGGCACGTTTTATAAACCACTGGGCTGGGATTTACCCATGCTAACTAGCCATGTAGTGTCTTGTTTCCTCAACCACTAGGCTACAGGGCCCCCTCCCCTTCCCTCCCCAAGTTTTTAACTTTTATTTGTGCCCTAGAGAGAGACGGAGGAGATGCGGGACACACCCTGACAGGGCCTTCCTAGCCCTCCAGCCTGCCAGGTCCCTGGGCGCGTCCACGTGCGTCTGGCAGACTTCCAGGCCAACCTGGGGATCCGAACCTGAGGCGGCCACGTGGCTTCCAGCACTGCAGGTCCGTTTGCTGCCGAGTGTGCCGCCGGGCTCAGCTATCTTTTCTCCTTTTCTTTTTAAAGTTTCTTTCTTTCATGAGCAAGAGAGAGAGAGAGAGAGAGCCAGAGAGGGTGCATCTCCAATGGAGTCTCGCTGCCAGTCCAGCCCCCGCCTCAGCCAGCCCTGGACCCTGGCACACACATGCCGGCACGCAGAGGTCTCTGGAGGGGAATCTGCCACCCTCCCCAGGGTACAGCCTTGCAGAGCAACTCATCTGACCACTGGGTGCCACTGCCCAGCCCCGCTGGCCTTTCCTCCTAAACTATTAACGAGAGCAAAGAACGCCTTTGGCAGCAGCCACATACCCACCGCCACGGGGCGCCGAGAACGCAACTCGGCCATGTCTGCTGAGCCCCTGTGGGGGCTCTCTTCCCAGGAAAATGCCCCACTTTCCTGCTGCCCAACCTCACACCTCGAGGGCCACCAGCTCCCCTGGCACGCTGAGGCCCTGTCCAGGGTCCTCCCTGTCTCTCTCCAGCAGAGCTCAGAGCCAGGGCATGGGCCGGTCTCCCCGAGCCGCCACTGCGCCCCCTCCAGGGCTGCCTGCAGTCACCTCTCAGGCGGGGAGTGGCCCTGTCTCCTGCCGAGAGGAATGGCCACTCAGGCCCTAACCAGCTAGGAGGAGAAGGACGCTGGAGCTGTTCACTGTGCCCCTGGAGCCCTGCCCTCCCCTGGCTAGGGGAAGACGCTGCTTGCCAGGCCTTTCCTAGAATGTGCTGAGAAGGGGCCAAGCCTCGCGGGCAGCAAACCAGGAGCCCGAACAAGGGAGCGTCTCTTCCTACAGCCACTAGGGGAAGAGAGGACGCCTCCCCACGTCACCACTCCCTGATCCCGACCCGGCCGGTGTCTGTCACAGCCTCTGCAGTCCACGCGGTCTCTTCCTAGACAGCTCGCCAGCTCCCGTCCTGTTCTTTCCGACTCCACCCTGGCTGCCTCTGATCTGCTCTCCCCCTCCAGCCTACAGACAGGCCTTCTCAAAACCCAGTCTAGAGGGACCAGCAGTTGGCGTAATGGCTACGTCGCCGGACTCCCATGTAGCTGACCACGGTTCGAGTCCCGGATCCGGTGGCTTAAACTCACGCTGGGCACGTGTGCGTGCGTGCCCAAGATCCCGAGAGGAGAATGGAGGAGAAGGGACTGTGGCGTAGCCATTCCCCGGGGCTGGGAGTTG